CTAAAAATTGTTCAAGACAAATTTCCCCCCCATATTCTGATGTCCAAGTCTTTGCGCGCCCAGACCTTCCTGATTCTCGGTCTTCAACATCTACCTAACTCTCTCTCTCTCTCGCACCTATCTCTCGAGTCGATGTATATGAGCGAACGATCTGGTGACGCGACGATAGATTATCCTTATAACCAAAAGACCGATCGAAATCTTAAAATTTTTTTATCTTATATTATTTTAGTTAATTAATATTCCATTAAAAATTAAAGAAACAAAAAATTTTTTTCGGCGATTTTTTTTAACCTTAAAAAAAAATTAAATTTCAAATGAAAATGAAAAACAGTACTTGTCAGCGTATACAAGAAAAAAATTTTTTTTTTTAAAAGGAAATATTCGAAAAATCGATTTTGTTTTATTTTCAAAAATCATTGAAAATATGTTTGTAATTGCAAAATTTTTGACTGATTTATTAAATCCAAGTTCGCAATCCTATTTGTATATGACGAAAATATGTTATGATTCAATACTTACCTTATCGTTAAATATTGTAGAGTATTTATCATTTCACATTACTTGGTTACTTGAACTGTTTCCTTCACTTCCACTTTTCAAATTATCATTCAAAGGCGAGTTATCATTGCTTGCGTTGGTTACTTTCGACGAGTTCGACTTATTTTTCTCGATAATAAAATAAATTTTTTTTTTTATATATCACTTACATCTTCCTATACTTTGCTAAACCAACTTATATCAACACCTCAATTGTTAAATAAGTTACTGTTATTTGTGTTACAAATTTGAAATACTTACATAATCTTTTATTGCATGATGAATTCTAAAAGTGAAAAAAAAATCACGGCATCATATTGATTCTATTGTTTTCAATTATTATCAGTTAAGTGAGAAAACTTGGTACCAGATACCATTTTTCCATCTTTAGAAAAATTATAAACATAAGATTGCTTCAATTACTATCATATCAGTTTCGAAAGTGATTTATTCATAGTTAATTCTACTATTTTACTCTATCTAATTCCATATAGTTATCAAAACTATAACGAATTGTTAAATGGAATTAATAACTTTAAATTATCTTAGCTGTGAAAGGTATAGTTACTGCAACCAACTTTTTGTCATCAACATGATATCGAAAACATATTTACAAAAACATATTTCATCCAACTATTCATTAATATTGACTTCGGCTAATGTATGGTTTCAGGAACTATGAAAAATAATTGTGGAAACTACATTTTTTTAATGGTGATGTTTTAGTTCAGCTAACTATGGATTTTTCTCTCAGTGTTACCTCGACTGTATAAATTCAGATATTAAATAAATTCAATTATTATTAATAAATCTAGTGATTCCAAGCAGGAACCTGACCAGTGCCTAGAATTCCTCGAACAGCGTAGTTTATTTCACAGAGGTTAATTTTCGATATTGTTATAAATTCCTGGAGACTACAGATGTTATTCCAATTCGTAATCAGGTCCCGGTGCAACAGCTACAACAATCTCCAGTATGGCTGCTTCGTTTTACTTCTACGCTGCTTTTGGTTATTTTTCGGCGTTGTTAGTTATCTGTAAGCACAGTTCTGTTATCGTAATTATTTAGATTTATTTAAGCCGGCTAAATGCCTAGCAAAAATAAATACAAGTTATTAATGATGGCTATCGCTTCGTTCCACAGTAGGTTCGAAGGACAGAAATAATTACCTTGTGTCTTTAGAATTTTGAGGCTGCTTTGTCGAGTTCCGTCTACACAATCTTTTCTCTCCGTGCGACAACTTCCTTTTGCCTCGGTACTGTCTTCTCCCCACTCTTAAAGCACTTCCACTCTAGGCCCCAGAGCTTATTTTATCGAATTTTAACTGCGCGAGCCTCTTAGATCACAGCGCCCTGTGATCTGTCGATAATTAACCATAGTCAGGGTGAGGGCCTTCAATAGATAATAAAGGAGCCCCGTGACAATATCAATATGTCTGTATGTAGATAGGAGGGGGGGAGGGGAAGCGGATCCCTAGGGGCAAAGTAGACCCCAAAGAACATTTTTTTTTTGGTGCCAAACAGTTAAATACATAAAAAAAAAAACGCCATTCGGCCAAACCCGAAATGAAAGGTAGATTTCACTGAATGAAATTCTTGATAGAATGACGTACATAAGTCGGTTGTATTACTCATTGCTTGAAAATGGTTCAGTTGGACTTAACTTTGATAAAATAACCAAAAATGGTCAAAATGTCAATGTTATAGACGTCAAATTAAAGGTCATTACATGAGCTATCACATGAATTTTTCAAAAATTCGCTATCTCTGTTCAATCAAAAGTTATACATTAATGAAGTGGCCAAAAACGTGATTTTCACTATTATGAAAATTTTAAATGGCTGCCATTTCTAAACTAATTGATCGATTTTGCTGATCTTCGAACTCGTTTAAGGTAATTACCCAAAGAATATGTGCACCGAGTTTCATCGAAATCCATTGAGAATTGTAGACGCTATCGTGTCCACAAGCCGCGTTATATTACATATGTATGTATATATATTGAAACACTGGACTTTTGTTTATCAAAAAAAATCCAATTACTTAGGTCATCAAGTCCTCGCGGATAGGTAAATGATCACCTAAGTTTCATTTAATTGGGATACGCTGTTCGGGGATTTTCCGCTCCCTGATTATGAAATTAGTTTATCATTTTAATAGCTTGACTGTCGGGCAAAAGTTCTCACGTTTGCCAGTTATAATTGTTTTATTTACTTACAATAATCTGCGTCCTGGTTAACCGTTTTGGTTGAATATAAACGGTCGTAGCAAATGGACAAGTGAATGGCGGTAGTTTTAGTAATGATATATAGCGATGATAACAATAAACTTAACTTTATTATACACAATAAGCACTTTTAATATAAACTTATAATATCTCGGTAACGTAACTTAGCAAGATGAAATATTTATAACAATAGAATGTTTATTATTTAATATTAGAGATTCAATAGCGAGTTAGTGGTAAATTATGGTAAATAGTCACCTAATAGTAGTAAAAAAAATATTAAATGAATTAGTGGTAAGTTTTATAAATTTGAGTGAGTGTTGGTGAGTAATCACCTAATAATGGTAATAGTAGTATAGTAGTTAAATGACTATGAAATACCTAGCGGGGTGGTTAACACCGGAGGATAGGTCGAAGTGTCGATCAATGCTCATGCTCTGAGGTTCGTAGCTGATTTTCCCCTCCTCGGGTCGTCCTGTGACGTCACGGAAGCTACACATTATTTTAGCTAGTGTCGGTAACGGAAATTTCGGGTGGTAGGTCGCTAGGCTGATAAAGTCGGGACATTTTGCAGTGTCTCAATATATATATATATATATATATATATATATATATAAACTTTTGAACCAATGCTAATTTTGAGCTTTACTTGACTACATAAGAGATAAAATGGCAAAATTCCGTGTGAATTCCGACACAAGGTCCAATGCAATAGATAGATTTCTATGAAATCTACCTAAAAGCGAAATGAAACGTCATCTTTTTTTTACTCATTGTTTTTAGGGTGTCCGCTTTATCCCCCCCCCCGCTCTTGTCACCACTATATATGTTTAAATGTATGTGTATATGGGTGTGTTTAGCGTGCGCGCGTGTGTGTGTGACAAATTTAAAGACAAATTTTAGGACAAGTTTAAAGACAAAATTCAATATAAAATTCAAGACTAAAATTTAATTCAAAATTCAAGACAAATTTCAGTACAAAAGTCAAGACAAATTTCAATAAAAAATTCAAGACAAATTTCAAGAAATGATTCAAAACAAATTTCAAGACAAATTTAAAGACAAAATTCAATACAAAATTCAAGTCAAATTTCAGTACACGTCAAGACAGATTTCAATAAAAAATTCGAGACAAATTTCAAGAAATAATTCAAAACAAATTTCAAGACAAATTTTTATACAAAATTCAAGACAAATTTCAGTACAAGTCAAGACAAATTTTAATACAAATTTCAAAAGGCTGGCAATAGCCTGGTCGGCTCGGTGCCCGCTTTTCGAAAGAGTGGGACCCGAGTTCGATCCCGGCACGCACCATAATGTTTCATGTCATTATAAACATTATAAATAAAAATATGTGCGTTATTACATGTTGTCAGCCTCTGGAGGTGGCAGAGATAGCCGGGCGGCACACGTCTGACTTGGGTGATCACCCATTTAAGCAACAACTTGAATGAGTGATCACTCTAGTCAGCGTTGGCTAGCGCGAGGGATCTCGGCACACCAGGAAAGGGGCCCAATGCTCCAGTGGTCGATAAAGAAGAATTTCTTATCAATCACTGTAGACTTAACCCAGCTCCGTCTGTACTAACATGGGTTTTCTCTGTGGTTTCCCCATGTTTCTGTTCCACTACCCAAGTGGTAAGGACCGGGGTGAATACGGTACAGAAGGCACAAGTCGGTCCACAGCCGCATTAAGACGTGTGTGTTGGGAATGAAATAAATCCCGACATGCAGGGGGGTGGGGTCAAAACAAGTAGTGAGTACAATGAAGTGATAATAATGATTGAAGTAAAATACAAAGTAGAGCTGGGAAGAAAGTGTGTAACAAAAAAGGAAAGTGAGAAATATTACCCCACCCTCTCTTGTAAAACACTGCCTAAGTGATACAAGTAAAACCTCCATTATTATTACAAATTTCAAGACAAATTTGAATACAAATTTCAAGACAACATTTTAATACAAAATTCAAGACGAATTTCAATAAAAAATTCAAGACAAATTTCAAAACAAAATTCAAAACAAATTTCAGTCAGTCTACAGTTGACACCCATAAGGGACGGACGTGCCTATAGTTTAGCGAGTGTCAAGTGCGTTCTTGTATAAATAAGTGCACAGCGAGTGTACAAAAGTTCATTTAGTGTATGATTATTTCAATTAAACCAGTAAAGTGTAACAAACCAAATTGAATAAAAACACCCACTAGATCTGCTCTTCTCACGAAGAGTAGTATCAAAATGTCTACAGAAACAAGAAGATCTTATGCCACAGCAACAGAACGTCCAACAAAAGAACAAGCCATTGTAATTAAAGCCATTGACAAAGTACCAATTGATGATTACTATAAGGAAATCAGAAGTAAAATCGGCCCAAAAAACATCCATAATGTATCGAAAATCTCTCGAAGTCGAATTTGTATGTACGTAGCAACCATCCAACTAGCACAAACACTAGTAAACGAACATAAAACAATACTAATACAAGACAAGAGACTTACGAAAAGACCTCTATTTTCCCAAAATAAGAGGATTATTATTTCAAATGTACAACCATTTATTCCCAATGATGTCATCGAAAAGGCATTATTAGACTGTAACAACATAAGACCCGTTTCTGGTATCCTATCTCTTCGAACGGGGGTAAATAACAGTGATTATGCACACTGTCTCAGCTTTCGTAGACAAATGTACTTGAAACCCGAGGATGCTGATAACATCCCCTTTGACCCAGGACAACTCCAAATCCAATACGAGGAAATAAATTTCTGGATCTACCTCTCAAATGACCAAGTGAAATGTTTCATATGTAATGAATTGGGACATCAAGCAAAACAATGCCCTGAAAATACCGAAAAAGAAAACGATGACACTAAAACTAACCAAATCTTAACAACAAACAACTTCCCAGAAATTAAAGGTAAGACCAACCGAAGTAATATCACAAATAAAATGATACCTGTCATAAAAACCAGTACTGAACAAAATACTGAAACAAATGCAATGACCAGCGAAACAACCAATATGGAAATCACCCCCCCAACAAACCAACTGCCTCTCAAAATGGACATTACTAATGAAAAAACTACAACCGGAACCAAAAGAATCTATTCAGAAACCGACTCATGGATAACAAATGTAAGTGATGAATCCATGCTACTTACTCCACCCATCCCCACAAAAGAATTTAAACAACGTGCAACCAAAACAAACACTAAAAAGAAGAGTAAAACTGACCAAAATATAACCAAAACAACAGCATCAATAAGTGAACTCCAAAACGAAATAACTAGCAATCCAAACAAATATCCGTTATCATACCTACAACTCTAAAATTTCTTAGAAAAAGTTGCAAACAAAATTCCACCAATAACAGCAGCAGCTGATATCATCCGTAGCACTGACGAACTACACACCATGCTGTCAAATTTATACCCACTGCTAAATAATTGAAGTACAAAAAATAGATTCAGCCGCATCATGAAAAACTTAAGTAACCTAACTGATAACCCAGAATCTGATTACGACTCTCAAACATCCGAGACAAGCATCTTAGAGTCTTCCCTTCCCTAAACTAAAAAAATTAAAAATCACAAACCACAACCATTCAACCTCTTCTTACACCAAAATGGCAAAAAACTACAAGCACCTAAACCTAACTCAGTGAAACGTAAACGGCTTTTACGCTAGATTTGAACAAATAAAAATTCTTCAACAGGAATTCCAACCCGATATCCTGTGTATCCAAGAAACAAATTTTGAAAAAACATCAAATGAATCCTTAAAAGGATACACCAGCTTTCAAAAGAGTCGAACAAAATATATCAAGCCAGCGGTGGAGTTGCTATCTTCGTAAAAAATACCATTAAAGCCGAATGATACCCCTAAATACAACACTCGAAGCAATAGCCATCACACTCAAAATACCAATAAAAATCACAATATGCAATATATACCTACCCAACAGTCAACCACTTAACTCAAATGAAATCGCCAGCATTGTGAATCAACTACCTGAACCTTGTATTCTTCTCGGAGTCTTTAACAGTCATAACCCATTGTGGGGATCAAACTTCATTGATAAAAGGGGAAAAATTACCGAACAATTCATTGATGATATGGAGCTGTTTCTACTGAATGACGGAAACCCAATTCACTTTTCAACAAGATCCGGGAAAAATAGCTACATAGATCTATCTCTCTGCAGCCCAACTATAGCAAACCATCTTCACTGGTCAGCTACTAACCATCTATTTGATAGCGATCACTATCCCATTAATATTAAAATAATAACTGAGCACGAAATCGAAATAAATCCTACTACTCACAAATGGAACCTAAAAAAAGCTAACTGGTCGCGCTACCAAATCGCAGCAAAAACCGCCATAAACGAGCTAAATGACCCAAACGAGTACACAGGCCTAATAGATTCATTACTTGAAGACCTGATGAATGCCATCAACACCGCAGCTGAGGCATCAATCCCAAAGATCACCTGGGGAAATTACAAACCGAAAAAACAAGTGCCCTGGTGGAATCATGACTGCGAAACAACAACTAAAGAAAAGAAAAAGGCATTTAACCAACTAAAAAAGAAACCAAATGAGAAAAATAAAATTAAATATAAAAAAGCACGAGCTATATGCAGGAGAACAATTAAGGAAAGTTATAAAATGTCATGGCTAAACCTACTAACATCATTTAACTGCAATACCTCGGCATCTACCTTTTGGAACTTCTACAAGAAGTTTCAAGGTCAAAAATCCAAATATATGGAAACACCTCTAATAAATGAAAATGGGGAAGTTCTAACATCAAATACAGATATTGCCAACGCACTAGCTGATACATTTGGAAAAAACTCCAGTGACACCAACCACTCAAATGAATTCTTAGAATTCAAACACAATAAAGAAACAAAAAACAACCTTGACGAAATGATCAACAAAATTGATAAATCAATTGATCAAGTCCTCTCCTGACATCTATAAACAATGCATTTACAAAAAATGACCTGAAAACAGCGCTAAGCCAATGCAAGAAAGACACACCGGGACCTGATAACATCCCAACAGCTCTAATAAAAAATTTACCAAACGAAGGATTAATATTCATACTCAAGCTCTACAACAAAGTCTGGTCTTCACATTCCTTCCCGAACATCTGGAAACAAGCTATTGTTATTCCCATAGCCAAACCAAACAAAGACCATTCCAACGCTTACAATTACCGCCCTATTTCCTTGACCTGCTGTCTTTGCAAAATCTTCGAAAAAATGATCAACCGTAGACTCAAATGGATACTGGAATCCCAAAAATGGATATCAAACAATCGATTCAGCTTTCGCAGTTTTAGATCAACATCTGACCACCTTAACCAAATCCACTTAGACATCAGCAATGCACTGTCAAATAATCTCCAAGCTATAGTTGTCTCACTTGATATCGAAAAAGCTTATGACATGGCATGGACTTACCGAATCATAGAAATATTAATTGAATTGGGATTCAATGGCAATATAGTTCACTTCATAAAAAACCTCCTATCAAATAGAATAATCCAAGTTAGATCAGGAACAGTTCTCTCTCACCCAATGGAATTAGTAAACGGACTCCCACAAGGATCGGTATTAAGTGTAACACTATTCTTAATCGCAATAAACCTTCTACTATCAGTCATGCCTAAACCCATAATGACCAGAGCCTTCGCGGACGACCTATCATACGTATGCATCGGCAAAATCGACACAATCTTACTGAATGCTGCAAATTAACTGGCTTCAAATTCTCTGTGTCGAAATCTGAATATATAATATTTTCAAGATCTAAACAAATACCAGAAACAAAACTATTACTGGGCACCACTGAACTGCGCAGAACTACTCGATTGAAATTACTAGGGCTGACTTTCGACCCCAAGTTGACATGGAAACCACATATACATAATATTTATACCCAATGCAAGAAAAGACTAAATATCCTCAAGGTTCTAGCAGCAAACAACCGAGGAGCAAGTAAAGATGTACTAATAAACACCTATAAAGCTGTAATTCGATCTAAATTGGACTATGGTGCAACAGTATATGGATCGACAGCTAAAAGTACACTCAAACAGTTGGACTCCATCCAAACAACAGCACTGAGGATAGCGACTGGAGCCTATCGTACGAGCCCGAGACTAAGCATACTTGCCGAGAGCCATCAAATTCCATTAAACCTACGAGTTTTGCTTGGCGAGTTTTAGATGATGTTTCTCAAGCCAATTATCAACGGCGTCAATGATTTACCGAACCAGTAGTTCTGCCTCTTCGGCACTGTCTACTACTATCGTCATGAGTAAGGCCTCGTGACGTTGTCAAAACATTTGGCAACGCAGGTAGACTCAAAGATTACGGGGATCACAGAAGAGACAAGTAACAAACGAACGAGACAGATACAGGGATAACTAAATATTATAGCTCAACAGGCCTTACGGCTACACCTCCCCGCATGGGCCCCGCTGGGCAACTGGTCGGATTGTCATTATATTACCGGCCAGGCCAACGTAGTCGTTGAATAAAGTTGTATAGGGGAGGTTTGATACAGTGAACAATTACGAGGACAGATTGACATTAAATTAAATACAACTCCATTCACATTCTGTCCAGTGATAGCGTAAAAGCTGGAGGGCAGGGTTTATCCTTGCCCGGGGAGTTGACGGTGCTTTTGTTTGGTGAGATTTGGGTTTTATTTTAAGTGCAGGTATAGCTTTTTTAAGCCCAGGAAACGGCCTGTTCGAAACGAGGCAGACGAAAGTCTCACCAAATAACTCGACCAATTTCCAAACTTGCACTCCTGCCACTTGCTCCAGAGCCAGATGCCTAGGACGTCTTCAATCATCTCATCGCTCCAATGGATCACTCCAGGACTCAATCAGCAACTCCGTTCCTGATGGCGGGCGGAATGTTGCGTAAATACCATATGTTCGCGCCAGAACATGTGGTAAGTTCGCATTCAACCTCACCAGAGATGCGGCGACTGACGCGCACTCTGCAAGTCATCTCCCGAAGTCAACAGCAGCTTGCGCGCCAACCGCCATAACAAATCCACACGCTGTACTCAACAACACGTGCATTGTGTATCTCTACAATCATTTTCTAATCAATTGTGCTCAACTCATTACATTTAGTGTTTTGCCAAGAAGTTCTACATAATTGGTAATTCAGGTATTATTTTTCTTCACATATTTCAATATATCTCATATTACAACCTGTTAAATAACTATCATTCATAACTTTTGCCTTCGTAACCTCTCAATTGTTATTATGCCGGTATTTCGGGATTACTTATCGTTTACTAGGTGCAAATAACCCAAACCAATATCGTCTAGGGAGTTTAGCACCTGTTGGACGTAATAACAAAAAGAGTTCCTGGAGATTAAAATTTAAATAACCCGGAACCACAGTAAATATTGTTCACTAGGTAAAAGTGACCTAGTCTAATATTTTTTGGAGAGTTTCGCACCTTTTGGACGTAATTATAACAAGGGATCCTGGAGAGTATCAAATAAATTACCCGTAACCACAGTAAAAATCGTTCCGTAGGTGAAAGTGACCTAGTGTAATATTCTTTGGGAGGTTCGACACCTGTTGAAAGTAATGACAACCAAAATTCCTTGAGATTATCAAATAAACCTCTTGGACCACAGTAAGTATTGATCACTAGGTGAAAGTGACCTAGTCCAATATTTTTTTAAGAATTTGGCATGTGGTGTGAGTAATAATAACGAGAGTTCCTGGAGATTAACATTTAAATCAATCGGACAGCAGTAAATAGCGTTTACAGGGTGAAAGTGACCTAGTCCAATATTTTTTTAAGAATTTGGCATGTGGTGTGAGTAATAATAACGAGAGTTCCTGGAGATTAACATTTAAATCAATCGGACAGCAGTAAATAGCGTTTACAGGGTGAAAGTGACCTAGTCCAATATTTTTTTAAGAATTTGGCATGTGGTGTGAGTAATAATAACGAGAGTTCCTGGAGATTAACATTTAAATCAATCGGACAGCAGTAAATAGCGTTTACAGGGTGAAAGTGACCTAGTCCAATATTTTTTTAAGAATTTGGCATGTGGTGTGAGTAATAATAACGAGAGTTCCTGGAGATTAACATTTAAATCAATCGGACAGCAGTAAATAGCGTTTACAGGGTGAAAGTGACCTAGTCCAATATTTTTTTAAGAATTTGGCATGTGGTGTGAGTAATAATAACGAGAGTTCCTGGAGATTAACATTTAAATCAATCGGACAGCAGTAAATAGCGTTTACAGGGTGAAAGTGACCTAGTCCAATATTT